GAGCATTTATGAGGTCTCAAATAGGAGGAAAATTTGAGAATAGAAAATATGGATTAACCTCCATGAATCTCAAATATGGTGAGGTTTAAAAACAAACAGCGGTGGACTGTTACTGAGTACATTTGCGCAATACTGTATTTTCTCTCTCTCTATGTATATATATAAATATATATATATAAGTTAAGTACAAGTACCTCAAATATATATTTGAGGTACTTGTACTTAACTTGAGTGTTTTAGGTTAGCTCCCACTTTTTCTTTACAACATTTCAGTGGTAAATACTAAACTTTTTACTCCACTACATTTAACTGACAGGAATAGTAACTAGTAATTTGCGTTCCATACCAGAACCAAGATTTTACATTCTAAACATATTATCTTCCTATAAAAAGTTTTACAATGTGTGTGCAATACTAATAATAATCTGATAATATAATAACCTATGTACCTCTGACAAGGTCTGATCCGCTGCACTATGAGTAAATGCATTTTCTGATAAACACTTTTTTTTAACTTACATAAGATTTTGAATGCAGGACTTTTACTTGTAATTTTAATATTCTTGCATTGATGCATGGTTTCATTCACTTAAGTATATGACACCAAATAGTTGAAAAGCAAATACCCCTTACCATTTACAGCATTTTAAGTGGAAGACTTAAGGTCTTAGATTTGAGCAACAGTGCCATCTAGTGATTAATAACTGCAACATCCAACAACTTCAAAATACACCTGGAATTATCAGTGTTACTGGTCCTGTTGGTGGTTGAGGAGTATATGGTGTTGCTGCAGAGCAGAACTTCAATCACGAATGTGCATGCTCATTTTTAACAAATCATGGGATTCTAATCATGACAAACTGTATTTTTTAACCCCATGCTTTGTAATTATGGTCCCATTTACTTTGACTTAAAAATGTTTTTAAAAGTTTATTCTCAGCATATCATAATTGAAAATCCTCTATGGGCTGATGGAATTACTGATGGAAACAGATCATTCCTGGTATCATAGGAAAAAAGAATAGCTTCTTAGTTCAGTTTAAAAAGCAGGGTTCTTTTCCTGACTTTTTATTTTGTGTGGTAGGGCTAACCTTTTGTTCACATTTGGATCACAAAAGCAATCCCTTTATTTTAGTTTTCTCTGATCGATAGATTATTTATAAAAGTGTTTTGGATGTTCAGTTAGCTGCTCTCATGTTTAAAGCACGCCATACAGCTGTGGTACCTAATGCAGATGGAAGATTGCCTTCATGTTTGCCAAACATTGCAACCTGCCAGAAAGTTCTCTGGAATCTGGACTCTCATATCAGTGGAAACGTTTTGGTGAAAGGTCAGTCATGCTGTCGGGGATCTAAGTGCAACAGAGGAGCTAATACCAATCCCTGTTATCTTCCTCTAAAAACAAAACAAGCTCCAGAAGAATGAGGTCAAGCACTGTTGGTCAAAGCAGATACAGCAAACAGTTGCCAGCAGATCATTAAGTCCTTTTCTATCTGTGTTAAGATACAATAATAGTGTCTGTCTGTCAATCATGAAAGCTAGCTAGGTCAGTTTCTGATCGCTCACGGTGCTCAGATGGTCTGCCACCGTGTACTGTCTGTTTAGAGCTAAATAGCATTGAATTTTGCATGTTTGAGTTTTTGTGGTGAATGTCCAGAAGTAATTTTCTTTTTGCTTAGCTATAATTTGATTGGGCCAGATTGGGGGAGGGCTGTCCTGAGGCCTTGTGATGTTAGAGGAGGTTAGCCTCAGGACCAGCTGGTTGAGGTTGACTCCTCTCTATGTTCTCCTCTTGGCAGTGGAGAGCTTTGAAGTGATAGAAACTTGCTTTTAGGTATTTGTAAAATGTGATTGCTTTTTTTGTATCCTAAATAAAAGGGGAACTTGGCCTAGTTCAGCTCGGCAGCCATTGCTGGGGTTGTTCCTGTGGACTCTGAGAATGCTCTTGCATATCTCAGTTGTTTGTCCCATTTTTCAATGTCTTGATTTACAAGAGGACCCTACACTTCACTACCACAAAATAGAATTGGTTTGATTACAGACTTGAATATTTTGAGTGGTAGACTAAACATTTGGTTGCAAATTCCAAGGAAGTTTTTCCTTGCCTGTGTCGCCCAGTGCTTGCTCCTGTTGGGAATTGTTGGGTCTCTGTAAATGCTATCACAAAGAGTGCAGTCTAGACCTGATGTATATGAAAAGCACAATGAGATAACTGTTGTTGTGAATTGGCGCTACATAAATAAAATTGAAATGAATTGAACTGATTTCATCTAAATAAAAGCCTGGTACAAACACAGGAATTTATTCATGATTTGAACCAGACTGGAATATTTTACACATGAAGTTCAGTTAACTTGTAAAGAGGTGACGTCATCAGTTATCTCAGCTCTGGTCTGAGACATTTTCAACCTCTAGTCTGTATTATAAACTGGAGGAGTAGGTGGGTGCATGCTTTCTAGTTGCATTATTGGAAATGTAGGATCCTGTGTTTTTGGAATTTGACCAACAGTAAAGACTAAAAGTCAGAATATCTCTGTCTACCATTAGCTTTAGACCAGTTGTGTGTATTCTTGCAGATGCATTTAACAGAAAAAAACTAATTTCATCACTCTCAGAATTACAATATCTCAAATGTCTTTAAGCCTCTCTGTAGCTCCCTCTGCTCTTTGCTATATTTTGTACAAACACTGTTCAAGGGCATAAAATTAGGTGTTCCTAACAGTCAGCAGGCTGAATTGAAGTCTGTCAACTACAACAGGGTATAAGGTAATAGTAATTTGAAATTTTGAGAATAAAGTCATAACATTTTGAGAATAAAGTTGGAATAGCCTATAGCCTATAAGAATAAAGTCATAGTTGAATAGAGGTTGATACTTAATGATGGTGGAGGTGAGTGCCACTGGGAGGTCACTGATAGAAAGACTGATACAAAACATGCAGCATTCTGAAATGTCAGACATGCAATGTTATATAAATACTTATCTACATAGTCTCATCTAAATCTTTTGATTACTTTACACGTAATAACTAACACTTTGCTGGACAAAAACATGTCTTTAAAAAGTTGTGAAGAGTTGAGAGAGAAATGGGGCTGTTAGATTAGTTCTAAGCAGTCAAAAGTAAGAGGCAGTGTCGTGTTGTCCATCAGTAAGAAAGTGCGGATCATAGATTTATGCAAGACTGTACGAATATAATATTTAAAACTTAGAAAGGTATTTCATTTTTAAAACAAGGTGCACATTTTCTTAATACACATATTAAATTAGGTATTTTTGTTGTCAAATCTGCCAGATATACCACTGCTTTTGGAACAGCCAGCATAAATGTTAATCATAGATATTTCGACACTGCAGCCACAGTGTGGCCACTGCACCGGTGTAAAGTGATCTCTCGCTGTAAAAGCCTAAATGAAAACTCATAGGCCTTTTGTGTTTTAACTGCATCAGATTATATTAACTTCAGAGGAAACAGAGGCACAATCATATCATCAACGGACACCTTACATAATATTGAGAAATGTGAAATCCGAAACCAGATCAGAATAGAGAAGGGCAGGTTGACAAATTGAAAGACAAACAGCTTTGGACTCTTCTAGTTGGCAGCAGTTTGGTTTGAATGAGTACAACAAGTTGGCAGCTGAGCAGACCACAGGAATCTCCAGCTGTCCTGTAAAGATGAAGGAGGAAAAGCTGCACATTTCTTTCAGAGAGTCATCCAGGGTGACCTTCCTCCAGGTGGTTCCTTCATACCTATTGGCCGGGCTGGGCATGGCGACGGCCGGCATGCTGCTGGACCAGGTGCAGGTCGGTGACACACTCACTCACACAATCTCATGCAGAAATATGGAAAACTTTCATTGAATTATTGTATTACATTAATTGAAAATTTGGTAACTGATGCAGTGAGAAAGTGTTCTTACTGGATTCTTTTATGGGAAAAAAGCTTGTAATAACAAGAATATGATCAGATAAATATTCCACTTGGAAGTAAGTCCAACAAGGTTACCATGTCTGCCCATCTGACCATATGTCTTCATCTCTTTGACTCTTGATTGATGTCTCTCTGGGGTGAATGGACTGAGCTGTGAACTGGTGTGTGTTTTGAGGTCAAAGTGACCTAATGGGTCTATAAAGTGACCTTGCCCCAAGGGAACAAATTAAAAGGTCATGGCAATAAGCATATTATGCAACTATGCTAAACTGGGAAACTTAGCCATATGGCATATATAGAAATAAGTAGACACATTAGCAGAATATGTAGTTGTGAATTTATGCACACTGAATGTAAACAGGAAGTTAACTTGTTATCAGATTCTAAATCTTCTGTGTTTATTATAACATTATGAAATACTCATATGAATAAATTGTAAAATACTTAAATGAAACAATAATTTGTGACATAAATGTAGAGATTATTACTATTATAAAATGTTATTTCATCATTCTTAAGATAATGAAAAATGTTCATTTCGTTGCTCAGTAACCGCCGGTTAAGTTTGGACAATCTCGCCGCTGATAGGCTTTCGCAAGTTTAAAAATTTGAACTCGCGCGAAACAGCGAATTGCGCGACAAACGCCTCATTCTCGCCGCCCAGAGCGAATTCGCAGGAATTCGCATCTTTGCATTGATTGATTTGTGTGTAATCAAGCCGCCCAAAATGCTGGATTCGCTTGCACCTTTACAGGCCGTAGTCAGTGGATTTTACTCTGACTACAGCGTGTTATGTCTGCACCGCAGTTGCCGGAGCTAATCGCGGCCTTTCTAGTCAATGCTCCACCAGACGCGGCGGCGGCGCTTCCCACAAGCGGCTCTCCACTCCGCAGAGAATAGAATAAATGGCATTCATGAGGGAGTTCCCAGGTGAAACCCACTGCTGATCAAAAAGAACACAAATGTTTGTCTAACATTTGCCAACAAACATCTTAATGATCCCCAAGACTTTTAGGAGAATATTATGCATGGTGGTGTTAGTGTGATGGTTTGGGGCTGCTTTGCTGCTTCAGGACCAGGACTTGCTGACCATATATTGTGTTCTCTACCAGAAAATCCTGAAAGAAAATCTGTGGCACACCAGCAAGTGTCTGAATGGGTAAAAAAAAATGAAGGTTTTGGAGTGGCCTAGTCAAAGTCCAGACTTAAATCAGATGCCGTGGCATGACCTTAAAAAGAGCTTTCATTCTCGAAAATCCTCCAGTATGACTGAATTAAAACATTTCTGCAAAGAAGAATGGGCCAAGATTCCTCCATCTCTGCATCTTGTATCTACTCAGGTTAGATGTGTCTATTGAAGAATAGAGAATATGTATATACAATTGTGTAATAAAAAAAAAACTGTATTTAATTCTATAGATATACATATTTTAATAATACAATACCAGATTGATATTTTTAATGTTGAGTTTTAATGTGTTTTGTATATTTAATGTATACAGTGTATCTGTGAACAAGATATTTGGATTTTTTAAATTCTTTATTTAATTCTGTGCTGGGCGTAAATGTTAGATGTTTTATTAAATGTAGATGCATTTCTCAACGTAAACCATGGCATAATCAAAATTTGGTAGTCTGTGACATGAACACATGGCATTCATACACTTTCTACTACTGCCACACATCCGTAGACTTCCTGTGGTACAGCCAATCATAATTAGTTACTGTGTTACGTCATCTGTTAATGCAGGACCCTGCCAGGCCAAGCATACGTATACCTGTCTGCTGCATTCACATGCTCCTCGGATGGTCCCGTTTCCAAAGTTGTAAAGTCGTTGTTCCGACTTTGTTGTATTCATGAGCTTTAATGTCATAATATGGAAACAACATGGACATATTTGTATAGCGACTGGGTGATGGGTTGTTAAGTATGTGACGTTGCTATCCAAGTATGCAGTTTGAACATGTGTGATTTTGTCCCAGATTGCTGCACTAGTTGGCTACATTCCAACATGTCCTCGTACCTAAACGACAAAATAGGTAGTTTGTCAGTGCCTCCCAAAATGACACATATGAGCCTATTTCCGGACCAGTCCAGCAACTGGCAAACCAATTAACTATATTAGGCAAGTCTCATGAAATTAAACAGGTGGTTAACGTGAAACGATAGCATGGTGGTTTGGGTTAAAGTACATAAATCACGTGACTTAAATCATGTCACATAAGTAACGTGACGTAAGTCAGTAACTAGTATTTAATTTAAAACTCTAAATATGTCTCTATGGTCTCCGGTGGAAAAGTCCTGGGTTTGACCCATCTATGGTTGTTCTGACTTGATGGAGCATTCAAATGCATTTTCTCGGGAATCATTTTTAGATTATTATTATTATCATTAGGTTATTACTCTGCATCAAAGTGAAGAACCAGTGTTAGCAGTTTAGCTAGCACCTGTTGGTGCAGAGTAGGGTCCACATAGGTGAGTTGCATCACATCAGTTAGCTGTCTTTAAAAAACAAAGATATACATAAAAATGACATTTTTTTTAACATAAATACATAAAAGATGTTCCTGTGTCTGTGCATAGTGATTATTTAGAGCAACAGCTATTCAGAACATTGTTTTTGCTGTAGCTAACAGATGCTAACTGGCTAAATCTGGTAGCTTAAGAGGCCTTGAAAAGTGACTTTGTAATTCAAAACAGATATTTGGAAAAGGGCATTTTGAAATCAAATTTTCTATTATGAAAATGAGAATCATGAAAGTTATTGTAAAATCATTTTACAATAATCAAGTTAAGAAAAATTCTTAAATGATTTTACAAATTATTATTTCATTTATATATTTTACACATTTTATCCGGATTTATTATATAATTACTTTTTAACCCCTTAACGCCGATTGCTCGCAAATTTGCATCACACCTCTTCCTTTCAGACTGCAGCTGAGATAGTTTGTATTCCCCAAATGCCTGTTTGTACATATTCCATACGGACTTGGGAACCTTTTACAAGCACTGGTTTCTCAATTATGCCTGTTTTTGCTAATTTGCATCATACCTGAATTTATATCTTTTCTATGTTCCCTAGACAAATGAACAATTTCCACTTAATTTAACATCAACCTGAAAGCAAATGAAAACAGAAATTATTTTAAATATTTTTTATTGTAAATAAATTCAGGCATCAAGGGGTTAATATTGAACACTTTGGGGCTCCACTATTTCTGATGAAAAATGGGGCACACATCTGGACGGAAGGAAAACTTGACTCAAAAGGCATTTCCCTTTCCCATTTTTTGTTGTCTAATTCAAAAATTACTTACAGCAGCTGTAGCTCGGCCAAAGAAGTATTACATGAAAAGTAATGACAGGTTCAGGAATTAGAAAAAGATGTTAGGGTTGCCTCACCAGTGCACACTGTTTCACTGTGCTGGTTTGAGTTCAGATTCTGCCTGTAAACTTTGATGCATGTCATCCCCTCTTACCCTGCATCATCTTTCTAGCTGCTGTTCTTTTACTGTCGGTTTCCCGAAATATTCCAAAAGGAGATCTTCGTGAAGAGGAAAGGCACCATCAACCACCAGTTACTACTCAACCTTCAGGAGCTGTTGATCTACAATTCAAATTACAGCCAGAAGTCAGAAGGGGGAGCTGTAGAGCACCTGTTCCAAGCCATGTCTCAAGGACGCTTTTTCAGCTGAGTCACTGTCCTTGTGTATGTGTGTGTGTGTGTGTTTGTGTGTGTGTGTGTGTGTGTGTGTGTGTGTGTGTGTGTGTTTGTGTGTGTGTGCATGCGCGGTGTGTGGACATGGTCTTACTACATATTCTGCACAGGCTTATGCTCCCCCCAAGAAGTTACATAATATGTTGTTAGAACTTGTTTTATTTCTGTCTTTCTTTAACATATAATTAGCAGTGTAGGTGCACATGTAGGCTATCAGTTTTTATCTCCATGCCAAACCTTGAAAAATATGTATGTAATTTGGAATAGCAAATGGCATTATAAAAAAACAGAAAGACTGACAGACTGAAAAAGTCCAGGGGATCACAGTTAGTGGCAGCCTGTGTGTTTCCTCCAATCAAGGAGGATAAACGGATTCCTTGCCCGTCAGCAGCAGCACCACGTGTTGGTGACAGGTACAGCACCTGCTGCTGCTCAGAGTGCGTCACCCCCTTACAGTGAGGACATAGAAGAGCATTGAAAGGAGGAGCCTTCAAAGAGGTAGAGAGCACAACTGCGGTATCCTCCGAACTGATCTCAAAAGAAACCAAGAGGAAGAGGGGAACTGAAGAAAGAAGAGCCCTGATATAGTCTGGTCACCTTGCTTGTACACATACGTCTGCAGCATCATCTCACATGCACACACACACACACACTGTCCTCCGCCTTGTCACTCCCTCCACCACAGAGCGCCGCCACGGCTCATCTATCTGTCTGGAATCAGAGGGAAGCCCAGGCAGCGAAAAGCAGTTGCACCTCTTCAGACGAGCCTCCGACATCATACCCTTCATCAGTGTCCCTTCACACAGCCTGGACGTACATCCTGGCGTTACCCTGATAAAAATGAGGAAGGGGCTCCAGAGTGGTCAAGCTCACACAGGGCATCAGCACAAGAAGGAGGTGAAGGAGCGGCAGCACAGGAGGGCTGAGAAGAAGCTGCTTGCCTTCTGGATGTCCTTGTCCCACAGGACCTGGACCTTCTTCTGGCCCCGCGAGAGACCGGGCTTCCGGCGCTCTGCTTCTGCCGCCCGGCTGCTGAAGAGTGAGGCATGAGGATAGAAAGTGTGTGCGCGTGTATGTGTGTGGAGGTCTGTCAGTAGCAGTGACAGAAGAGGCCTCACAGACCTGCTGTCAAGTGGACCTGTGTGTGTGTGTGTGTGTGTGTGTGTGTGTGTGTGTGTGTGTTTGTGTGTGTGTGCGTGCTCCTTTCAAGTGGGTGAAAGCAGCTTCCTCCGCCTAGTCCACCATTTGCAAAAGTACTTTGTGTTGCTGCCATACCAGCGCTGGGGTGATAGGTGAAGGGTAAAACAAGCTTGTTGAATCCCTCTTTGCTGCAGTTTTCTTGGGAACAAAAAAAAAAGTCAAAAGATGAGATCGTCTTCTCCGCCTGGTTAGTGTTTCTCCTCGCTCAAAATGGAAAATTACATCCTTCTCAAATCAACTTGACTTATTCAACAAAAAGCTTGGAAGCGCGCTACCAACACTTCTCAGGCGGGGGTGGGTTAACAGGGATCAGCCATGGTGGTGACCCATCTGGTTCTGGAGCTGCGTTTCCAGGGGAAGAAGCTGAGGGGTTTCTCGTGCAAACTGACCCGCTCGGCCCGGGGCTTCCTGCCAGAGAGCTCGTGGATCATTGCGTTCCAGGTCCTGCTGCCTTACCTGGCGTCTGGGCTGGGCATGGTGGCAGCTGGGATAGTCATGGATATAGTGCAAGTATGGGGGAAAAAAAGTGCTCCAAAGTGTGTCTATGTGTGTGAGATTACAGCTGCACTGATATCAGTTTGTTATGACTCTACTGTGAGTACTGTTATGTTTATGCACACACCATTAGATGCTAGACAGCTAGATGTGATTCTAAACACCCAGTACTACAGTATGAATATGACATGTTTTATGACTTTTCATGATCACCATAGGTTCATTCCTAGGTTTCATGTATCTTTGATGTAGAGTTGTGGTGAGTAGCTGGAAGGCAGGAGGATGAAGCTTGATGATGCTTATGTATTGAATCCGTCATGTAATTGAAAAAAAAAACAAAAAAAAACAAACAAGACAATTTCTATCTAGCTTTCCTTGGCAAAATAGCTAATTTAACGGACCATCTTTCATTCCAATTTTGGCTAAAAACTATGATGTAGAGGATTACATTTCAGACATTATATGTCTGATAAAATGTGGCCTTTTCACAGCGAGGCAGACAGCAGTATCAGAAACCAAGTCAGATAGAACAGAGCCACCTCATAGCTCTCTCCCTGTTTAACCTCTTTAAAATAAATCACCAGCAGCGTGACATGACACCCTGAATTATGCAGCACGTCAGCCAGCCTCTACTTGAGGCATAAAGAACTGATAGACCAGGCTGCCCCTGCCCTGCAGCACAGTCCCGCAAACACGTCAAGGATAACAAAATAAGTGGCGTTCTGGTAACTTGGATTAGTAACTGTAATATTATTACTGTTTTGGAAATAGTAATCCCTTACACCACTAGTTACGGGGAAAAGTAATAACATTACAGCAACATGTTACTGCCCAACACTTCATGTGAGAGCTGGTAAGAAACATGAAAAGCCATTTTAAACATGTTTAAAGGTTCAGTCTGTTAGTTTTAGTGGCATCTAGTGGTGAGGGTTGTAAATTGCAACCAACGGCTAAGTCACTTTGCAAGCTCCTAAGAGAATTATGTCCAAGTCCAAAGGTCAGAATTTTCACTAACACCCAAGTTGGCAAATTCTAGTTAAGATTTTTTTAAGTCTATATCTCTAGATGATATTTCAACATTATAACCTTTTGTAAGTGGTAGCTTAGTCACAGAAATCAGCCTCCAATGACTCTAACCACTGAGCCAAAGAATGAAAAATCTTGTCTCTTTATTTAAACAGAGCATGTCATACAAAGAAAAACAAAAGTAGTCTACCTCATTAATGTACTTATTTGATTATTATCCCTGCAAAGTGTCAGTGTGACTTTTTGTGAACCGACCACAGCCTGGACATTAAAAAAGGGTAACTTGCAAACTCTCGAAACGGAATTTGTTGTTATGCATGAATGGTTATGATTACTGACAAGTTGGTATTTAGCATAAACACATTAGAGCAGTTGTTCTCAACCTTTTTTGGGTCATTGCTCCTCTATCCAATTATCCAGGTCCCTTACCGGCCCCCATCAAAAGGGATGTAGGCTGAATATTGTTGATTATTATTATTATTATTGCTGTTACTATTGTTATTAAAACATTTTAAAAAGCACGTAAGTTAATGATAAACAACATGTATTACTTTCCAAGGAACAAAAAAGCCATGTGAATAGTAATTATCTTGAGTTATTAAGTGAATTTTCCTCCCAGAAATTGTGTGTGAACCTAGATACTGTTTTCTTGGACTGGGCACTTGATAAGTGGGGGGTCTGGGGGTCCACTCCCTGAAGATTTTGAGCATTAAATACAGATTTTCCTGCATTTTGGTGAAAAATTCTGTTCCAATTACTTTGTTTCTCGCAGTGTAGTTTCACTGTGATGTACTCGAACAGTGGGCTGCGTTTGACAAGCTCGTTGGGAACAGAAGGTGCATTCAAAGACTACTGTGGTGTTTTTCAGCACTGGGAGGTGTTCAAGGAGATGTCAGAAGTGTTTATCTTGGTGCCAGCCCTGGTGGGGTTGAAGGGGAATCTGGAGATGACATTGGCATCCAGACTGTCAACAGCGGTCAGTGGAAACACACTCGCACACATACAGAACACATACACATGCAGAATGTATACAACGGTGTAACTCTTAATAATTAATACATTTTATTTAATCTTTAGGAGAAAGTGTGGCACACATACTTCTTAGACAAGATGGCTTATTGTGTACATAGGTAATAATAGGTATTAGCACTTCCTATGTACTTAGGTTTGTGACTCGTCCTTAAAAATGTAATGCTGTGCAAGGTTGGTACCATGCACAAACTGTCGTAATTGGTCAGTTGTCACTTAACTTTCCATTAGTGTTATCCTTCAGTCCTGTCAGGACCTGTTTCATGACCCAGAGGTCATGTAAACAGCAAAAACAGAAAAGGTTCAATCATTTCTGAAAGGAAGAGGCAAAACTGTTCATCATCATTCACCAAATTATTCATTATCTGTGCACTCTGTCAACAAATCAGAGAACATTTTTGGAGATAATGTTGACATAAGTTGCAGTAGCGGGAGTGACAACTTTAAAGCCATTCCGTGTGTTTGTGAAATGTGATTACGTGAACCCGTTTCCGTCCACAGGCCAACACAGGGCAGATGGATGATGCTCAGCAGCAGTGGAGTATGGTGTTCTGTAATCTGGCTCTCATTCAGGTGATGCACTGCGCCAACGTACACCATACATCCTCTTAATAACACACTCCATCACCTTGGTCCAGTTCTACAGGATGCTTTACTGGCGAGATAAGATCGGCCCCCGTGGCAGAGACGTTGTGAAGTAAAGGAAAATGTATCTGATCTCACATTTTACCTTAAATGACAGTTCATCAATTTGTTGACAGAATTGTTTGGTGCTACCTTATATAATTCAAGACACATAACTGAGCCCTGACAATGTAGAAAGAAATAAAACTTAGAATAAGATGTTAGTGGTGTGATCATTAAGTCTGGTATTTAATATTCTGCGTGGGAATTAAAATGAGGAGGCAGTCTTGTGAATAGTTTTCATTATGAAATGAAGGAGTGGACATGTGATCAGATCAGGTACAGCATTTCACTGTTGAGAATCTCTATGATAACATTTATTTTTCATTTGTATCACTTTGGCATAATTGAAATCGAAAAAGCTGTTTTCTTACTGTATCGAGGAGAGTATAACATTACATCAATGTGTGGGTATAATGTCGGCCTGCCAGATGAACTCTGGGATCTCCATGTTGGGCTGCACATGCGCCAACTTACACTTTCTATTTTCCACGCTTCTCTTCCATCATGTTCTTCTAAATGTTTTATCCACTTGCTTTCTCTTCTCTCTGAGAAAGACGGAGATAGAAATGTAAACAGATTGGTGGATAGACCAATAATGAGATAAATACTATGGATAAATAAAGAAGGCTCACGTCCCTCTGCTTTGTCCTTCGTCCCCAGGTCCAGGCCACAGTTGTGGGTTTCCTGGCAGCAGTTGCATCAGTGAGTCTCGGGGGTCTGACAAGGGGGAGAGTGGACGTTATCCAGGCTTGTGTCCTGTGTGCCAGCAGTGTCACAACTGCTTTCATCGCTGCACTGTCTCTAGGTCAGACCAGACAAAGGCACACACTGCTGCAGAGGAATTAATGTCTTAGAATGCAGCAGATACGCAAAACACATTATTATGTTGTTGAACTTCTTTGTCATATCTTCATGTTACTGGGCAGGTCTGGTGATGGTGGCGGTGATTATTGGATCAAGGAAAGTGGGCATCAACCCAGATAATGTGGCCACGCCCATCGCTGCCAGTCTTGGAGACCTCATCACTCTGTCTCTGCTTGCTAGGGTCAGCAGCCTCTTCTTCTGTTACAGAGGTCAGATGTCACACATTACGTAAAGAAAGCTCTGCGAGTCACTTTCAGTACACTATTTGTTTATCCAGTTTCTGGGATACAAATGGTTCTTCAAGCAATTGCATATCCACAGTATTGTGAGGATTAAGGCGTATTTCAGCCAGAAGAGGGAAGCACAAGCCAGAAAATCAACAGAAAATCTCTCAGTCATTTGTAAAGTCTCTCCATTCTCTTTCATCAATTGTGTCATGGTCAGAATATCTTCTAAAAACAAAGGACAAAAGTGTTTCTTTCACCTAACACCAATTTGTGTACTACATGAAGAGCGTAATCAAAGATTTTGACAGATGTGTTTTGTGCTATGTCTCCAGACATGTGGTACCTGCCCCCTGCAGTATGTGGTTTCTTCCTGCTTCTCATTCCACTGTGGGTCAGTATTGCCCAACGCTCTCCATCAGTCAGAGATGTCCTAAAGTCAGGCTGGCAACCTGTCATTTTGGCCATGTTCATCAGCAGGTGAGCCAACCTGTGACACTATCTATATCAGAGGCCCAACAGCCCAACAACTTTATCATTTTTCTTGCTCTGATCAGAGTTTTTTGAAAAATTTAAAGATATGTCTGTTTCATTTAAATAAAACAGAAAAGTTAAGCAAATTAGCTTCAGCTAGACACACAGGTGTCCCACTCAGACTCACATACTGTATGTTGTCTTCTTCCCAGTATTGGTGGTCTGATTCTGGATAAGACAGTGAGCAATCCAAAGTTCGAAGGCATGGCAGTGTTTACTCCAGTCATCAATGGTGAGTAGAAGATTAACTTCCCCTCTATCTAGCATTTGTAAGCCGTATATAAAAAGGAGTATATGAACAGGTTTATAACACACTATAATACTTCATTTAAGATGTGAATACATATGTTATGATTTCATGTTTTGTTACATTGTCATTCCTTTAACTGTCACGCTACTAGTTACAAATGATTCACTGGGGCAGTTATATGTCTTTCAACCACCTTAGATAGTGTTATCTTGTGTTTTGTTAATTGTTTATGTACTGCTTATAAATGCTAAATTTGGGATTAAAATAGTGTTACTGACTTACCTTTATTCTCCATCATTTAGTCCCATCACATACAACGCCAGTTTACTGACAAACCAGACTAAGAGGCTGTGAGGCTGTGCTTAGCACAGAGGTGTTTTGAACTTAATACTCAATGATAATGCAAACATGCTGATGTTAAGGTGGTATAATGTTTACCATGTTCACCACCTTAGTTATATAAAGTATTGTGCAACTTGAAATTTTGATCTGATGAATGCAGAAGATAACAAGTCAAATTTATGCTAAGGGAAGTATAAATGTGTGAACCAAATTTCATGGCCGTCCATTTAGCTGTTGTTGAGAGATTTTACTTGAATGTCTGTTTTACATTTGATATCAATTCATCAAGAAATTGTTGAGACATTTCACAGAATAAGTGAAAACTTTGATCTGCTGGTGGCGCTAGAGGACAAGTCAGGTTATCACCAAAGTCAGTATTCAGTATTTATCTGATAGCTTTATTTAATGATTACTTCTATAATTAAAGGCTTTGCACACCCACACAGGTGTTTTCAAATACCCTGGCGGATTAGACATCTAGTCAGTTCAAAGATAGGCGAAGCCACGCAGGGAATTATGTGATTTGAAAAAGGATTCCAAAGGACAGTACCCACCCAGCCACAGCCAGCTATCAGACTTTTAAACTCAAATCCTCATTACTGCTCCACTGAATATAGTTTATTTCTGTTAACCATTTTTACAATTGCTTTTATATCACTGTATATTGTCTGCTACAGAACAGAAGGGACTTAAATATATAAAACTTCCTTGTAAGTCTATGCATTAAGAATGATAACTGAATATGTTGCCCTGCTCCAAAAGGTACAAAAAAAAAATAAAAAATCAGAAGTGTGAGGGATATGATTACTTCCATTATAATACACAATATAATAATATTTTGAATGCAGGACTTTTATTTGTGACAGAGTATTTTGTATATTGTGATATTACTACTAGTAGTAAAGCATCTACATAAGTCCTCTGCCACTGCATGGAATTACATGAAATTTTTTCACAAGTATTCAACTGACGCTTGAGCAGATATAAACCTAATTTTAGAGGCCTCGAGGGAGGAAATTAGGATGATGACTTTGGTTAACTTTGCCTAAAATAGATATTTTGTGGTTATAATCCCCTTAATTGAAGCTGAGTCAATTTGTGACATTTCTTCCACAGGCTCTAAGCAAAGACATTAACACTTACATGCTTTCCTTAAGGAATAAGCAGAGCTGTGATTTGGGTTATGGTGTTTCAACAGTCCTAATCTTTGAAAAATTACATTTAAGTGTTAATAATCAGTTTATTTAGTTCTGGTGTCGCCACTCTCTTACAATGAAGTGACAACACTGCTAAAGACATTTAAAAGGGCCTCAAATTTGAGATATTAATCAATCATGAGGTATTAAAGTGCTGCTGAAGCATTATCTTCCTTGTCAAACGAACATCAGAGAGGCAGAAAGGGCCAGATCTTCACTGACTGAAGTTTGTTGCCCACAAATAATAAGTAGAGAGGAATAACAATGGTCTTTACATAAACCACAAGCCTGATCAGAATGCCAAGTATGCATTTGCTGGCTCCCATTTGCACAGCATCTCTGCCAGCCTCAGTGCTACCAAACACTCTGGCATATTGCCTTCCCAGTACAGGAAGTGCATTTGCATTCGCATTCAGCGCTCCTTTTGCCCTGTTGACCAGAAACCAGCGGTGGAATAAGTAAGTAAGTGGATAAAAGTAGAAATACCATATATATAATGTGTATATAAATACTCCTTTACAAGTAAGGTTCCTGAATTCCATATTTTACCTAACATATTTAAAGTATCAAAAGTAAAAGTACTCATTATATTATTATAGTGTATTCTATTATTAAGTTTTTATCACTAACAAAAACATGTAAGAGCATTTTAATGTAGTTTGTGTGAAGCCAATTTGAGATATTGTATATACTGTATCTCTCTAATAAAGGAAGGAATCTGTGTGTGTGTGTGTGTGTGTGTTTGTGTGTGTGTGAGTGTGTGTGTGTGAGTGTGTGTGTGTGTATTTCTATTATGTCAGGAACTATTCATCCAATCGACTTCAAACGTGGCGGGTGTGTTGCTGTAGACCCAAAGGGGGTACAGTGTCGCGTTTGATGCAATTTTAATGCAACACTGAGTTGAGCTCTGCAGCAGTGACGGAGGGGAATGCTCGCGTGGCAGTTTTTTCCCTCTTCAACACATTAACTATGAAAAGACTGTTTCACATGCTCACAATGAGGCATGTGCTGCAGTGCGTGTGTCCCAGCGATTTTTTCCACATCCATCAACCAATGGACGCTTAGCCCAGCAGCTCCAGGCAGAGGAAATTCCTGCGCTCCTTATTCAGGGGAATCCAATCTCATGTTTCCTGAGAGCCTTTTTTAAGAGGTGTGTCAAGCAAACCACAGACTTTTTTTATTGAAGAATCCCCCTCTCACCCCCCTTGCGGGGTGCTATGTGTCATCCTCAAGCTCGAGTCCTCTACCAGAGGCCTGGGAGTTTAAGGGTTCTGCGCAGTATCTTAGCTGTTCCTAGGACTGCACTCTTCTGGACAGAGACCTCTGATGTTTTACCTGGAATCTGCTGTAGCCACTCTCCCAGTTTGGGGATCACAGCCCCCAGTGCTCCGAATAATTTAATATCAGTTTCAATTTAATTTCAATTTAATTTAATTTCAATTTCATTTCATTTCAATTTATTATGGATAGCCCCTTGAGATGCAGCATCTCGTTTTCAAGAGGGTCAAAATACACATTCACATTATACAACAGGTAAAGAACTAAAACAAACAAACAAACAAAAAAAAGTGCTCAAAACAATTGAGTTACTTGGCAGCTTACACCCTTGCCCCAGACCGAAGACACATCATAGCTCAGACATGTTATAGTTAGCTCAATAAGTGCATCTCATTTACCTCATTACACAAGTGGAACCCATAATACATAAGAGATTCAATACGAAAAGGTATCACATAAGAAAGACAGAGGTCGAATCCACAGGAGGTAAATCAATTAGACAATTACATGAAGCAAAATACAGTTACAAGCAATTCTGTTTTGTCCAGCATCAGTAACATGCACACACATTGTTAAGATACTGAAATATAGATAACCTAAATCTGCGAAAAGATGAGATGGATCTCAAGGAAAGAGGGAGATTGTTCCAATCACAAGTAGCTTTATAATGAAAAGATTTACGTCCAGCAGCTGAAAAGATTCCTGGTACAGTAAAGACAAGATATTGCATATCTCTAAGTGGATACATAGAACTACAAGGAACCAAGAGTTCTTTCAGATATGGAGGACAATCAAAGTAGGCAAATTTGAAAATAAATAGGAACCAATGGAAGTCTCTTCTTGTCTTAAGCTGAAGCCAATTTAGTGATGCATACATTACACAATGATGAGTTTTAAAAGGACACCTCAGAACGAATCTACATAGAGAGTTAAAGACAACATTGTCTGGCTTAAGAACAGTGTTCATGTAGATGATATCAGCGTAGTCAATGATGGGAAATATCAACTATGAAATTAACCTTTTCCTGACTTCAAGTGTGAAACAATTAACAGATCTATTGAGTGAACTGAGACAGCCAGATATTATTTTGTGATGTAATCAGTGTGAGGTTTAAAAGTAAGCTCAGAGTCAATCCCCAGTCCAAGGTATTTAATTTTTTCCAATTTCACCATGGAGGACCCATCTTCAAAATAAAGTTGCAAGTTAAGAGCACAAGATCATCTGTGCCTCGTCCCAAACAGGACTTTTCCATATTCAACAATAATTTGTTATTGTGAAGCCATATTTAAGTCATGAGAAAGTCAGCTTGTAACCTGTTCTGGATACAGTGAACATCAGAGTCAGCAGTGTAAATTACGGTATCATCAGCATAAATATGAGCCTTACAGATGGAGCAAATGTGCGATAAATCATTAATGAAAATCGAGAACAAAAGGGGTTCTAGAGTGGAACCTTGAGGAACCCCCTTATCAACCAATAAATAATCAGACAGTGAACCTTGAAAAGCAACACACTGCCGTCTAATGTGAAGATAAGAATTAAACCATAACAGAGGACTTTGATTCAAACCTATTGCATAAAGCTTGTCAAGGAGAAGGTAATGATCCACCATATCAAAAACTTTGGAAAGGTCGATAAAAATAGCACCAGTTAGCTGTCCCTTATCAAAGGAGGAGAAAACGTCACTGGTGAACTTCAATAAAGCTGTGGTGTTTGAAAAATGAGGCCTAAAGCCAGATTGATATGGGGATAAGATGTTATTCTGAATAATGAATTTTGATTAAAAACTATTTTCTCAAATATTTTGGCAGTGGTGCAATAGAAATTGGGTGATAATTATTCATATTAGAAGCATCACCAGTTTTGAAGAGAGGGGTAACTCACGCACATTTCCTTGTAGCGGGAACGGTGAAAGTAGTCAAAGACAGATTAAATAGGTCCGCAAGTGGAAATATCAATACATGAGCAGCAAGCTTAATTACCTAGGCTCAAGTTCATCCGGACCAGCACTACTGTTGTCTTTTAGATCACCTAAAGCATTAAACACATCAATGGGCATGATTTTATTAAATTTGAATGAGCCAGAGGTAAAAGACAAGGTTGAGAAATGATCATTAGCATAGGAATAAACATGTTTGGAGTCACCAATAGAGGTAAAATGCTGATGCATGAGCATTAAGGGGAGGATCAGAAATTGTAACGTTATTCATTTTTAGTTGATTAATGGGAGTTTTGCTATTCCTATTGAGAGCCCGATTCAAATGATTCTAAAGCTGTCTAGGGTTATGAAAATCATTAAGAAAGCAGTCTCTATAATAACTGGATTTAGCATTTCGGGTTTGAGTCTTGCACTGATTCCTGAGAGATTTATAATGATCCCAGTCAGGGGCAGATTTAGTAAGGCGATATTTGGCCCATGCCTTATCTCTTTGCTTAAAAAGATTGATTAGATGAGAACTGATCAAGGGTAAGTGCTTCCCTTTAACTCTGAGGAATAGTTCTAAATGGAAAATGCTTATCGATTACATTGGTAAGTTCAGAGTGAAAAAAGGTCCATGCATCGTCAACAAAAGGAATTAGCTGGAACCTGTCCCAATTAATAGCGTTTAAATCCTGTATAAAATAATCACCATTAGTATTTTTACATTGGCGTATTCTAATATATTTAGGAGGGAAATGTGGCATTTTGATTTTCCAAACACAATAAATGATCACTAAAACAATCATTAAGACACCAGATTTAAATATCCTTTCCGGATTAGAGACCAGTATCAAGTCAAGCAAAGATGAGGACCAGCTATCCACTCTAGTGGGTTCCTTTATAAGCTGTGTGAGATTAACACTACTAAATAAGTTTTTATCACCTGCGGAGGAACGATCAAGCCAATTGAAGTTGAAATCGCCAAGAATAATCAATTCTTTATGCCTGCCTAATGAGTTAATCGTAGATAAAATGCACTTTGTGGAATCTGATGGGGCAGACGGAGGCCTATAAATATTGCCAATAATTAAATGTTTATTTACATGAAAGATAATACTTATAAAAAGACTTTCAAAGTTAACTGGATCTACTTCAGGAGTAATACATTCAGAGATAAGATTTGCATATGTGACCACCCCACCTCCTCCGGACAATCTATTGGCTCTGTACAGTACATTATCATTGATTTCAATATCACTATCAGAAATTGCATTACTTAGCAAGGTTTCTGAAATAGTAATAATATTAGGTTTGTACTGAGCAACCCAGGCTCTAAGAAAAACAATTATTGAAGCAAGGCTCCTGATATTAATGTGAATGACCTTTAGACCTTTAATGGATTCCATTGAAAATGAGAAGAAAAGAAGAACATGTCAGGGTACCATACTGAGAAGTGTGGAAGGGGAGGGTGAAAAAAGCCGCAATAGCAACAGACAAGAGCAAAAATATACAAAGACATAGAAACAAAAAACAAGTTAAACACACGACAAACCAACAAATTTCAACTAGGCACAATTGCTCAGCGATCATTAACTATAAAGAATAAATTACTCAGGGAGTCTCAAAACCCACATAAATAAAAATGGCTAATCTTTCTACTTTATTTTTATCATTAATCAATACATAATAGTTTCACAGTGAAGGCATCAGATAAATTAATAAACCAGATCAGGCCTCAGACTAAAGCAACCAGCCATCAGCAGGGACAAAAAGCAATATTCAAACAGAAAAGTCAAGACAGAGCTACTGCTGTCCAAACGGAATCAATAAACAAGCAGGCCTTCAAAAAGAGCAACTAGCCTATCTATGCAGTGGAGTAGCACAATTAAATCAAACAGCAGAATGCAGAACTGCAACACACAGTAACAAAAACACCAGAGAATTCTACTCAGCAGGAAGGAGTGATGCTGCATAGTCTCTGGCTTCATCAGCTGAGGAGAACATTTTCCTATTGGTACCTTACAAGGCGTATAATAACTGGCCTAGGTCGCTGACCTAGGCATGGTTTAGCAAAGAGAGCTCAGTGAGCCATGTCACAATCTGGCAGAGAACCCAGAACACCCTCGCCAAACACTTCCATCAGAAGCCCCGAGAAGAAGGAAGTGTGTTGGCCGCCCTCAATGGATTCAGGTAGGCCGAGTAATCTAATATTATTGCGGCGGCTACGTGATTCCAGATCAGCCACTTTAGCCAGCAGTTTAGCGTTATTTGCCGACAATGAAGCACAGGAAGTTTCCAAAACTGAAATACGCTTGTCTTGTAGATTGGCATTGGTCTCAAGTACTGAGATTTTCTGAGCATGATCAGATAAAGTCTCTTGCATACAGTCATGTTTAGTTTCGAGCAACATTAAGCTCACTGGTAACTTCATCAGTAGCAGCCAATCCTGCATTTTGATCCTTCCGATTTAGTCAGGTTCCTTTAGCAGCCATGGTGAAATCAGCTAATCGAATTAATAGCAAACACAAAAGTCGTGGGCGTGAGACTCAAGGAGCTGCAGCTATGCCACCACACTCACATTCATTGTCCTGCACAACTGTTACTCTTACTTTCCACATCTTTTCTAGCTCCTCTTTCAGCCCTTGGTATTTCTCAAGCTTCTCGTGTTCCTTCTTCTTGATGTTGCTGTCGCTTGGGATTGCCACATCTATCACTGCAGCCTTCTTCTGCTGTTTGTCGATCAACACGATGTCTGGTTGGTTAGCCATCACCAGGTTGTCAGTCTGGATCTTGAAGTCCCGCAGGATCTTAGCTCGGTCATTCTCAACTACCTTAGAAGGTGTCTTCCATGTTGACCTTGGGACTTCCAGCCCATACTCATAGCAGATGTTCCTGTACACTATGCCAGCTACCTGGTTATGGTGTTCCATGTACGCACTTCCTGCCTGCATCTGACACCCTGCTGTTATGTGCTGTACTGTCTCAGGGGCATCCTTGCACAGTCTGCACCTGGGGTCCTGCCTGGTGTGGTAGACCCCAGCCTCTATTGATCTTGTACTGAGTGCCTGTTCTTGTGCCGCCATGATTAGTGCTTCTGTGCTGTCCTTTAGTCCAGCCTTTTGCAGCCACTGGTAGGATTTCTTAATATCAGCCACTTCTTCTATTTGTCTGTGGTACATGTCGTGCAGCGGCTTGTTCCTCCATGAAGGTTCTTCATCTTCTTTGTCCTCACTCTCGGGTTTCTGCTGCCTGAGGTATTCACAAAGCCTTCATCTTTGGGGGCCATCTTCCTGATGTACTCCTGGATCTTAGTCGTTTCATCCTGGACAGTGGTCTTGACACTCACTAGCCCTCGGCCTCCCTCGCTACGCTTGGTGTACAGTCTCAGGGTGCTGGATTTGGGGTGAAACCCTCCATGCATTGTGAGGAGCTTTCTTGTCTTCATGTCAGTGGCGTCTATCTCCTCCTTTGGCCAGTTTATTATACCAGCGGGGTATCTGATGACAGGCTAAGGTCTGTGTTGATGGCTCAGATCTTGTTCTTCCCATTCAGCTGACTTTTCAGGACCTGCCTTACTCTCTGTAGGTATTTGGCTGTGGCGGACTTCCTTGCTGCCTCTTGGTTTCCGTTAGCCTGCGGCACCCCAAGGTATTTGTAGCTGTCCTGAACATCTGCAATGTGGCCTTCTGGTAGTTCAACGCTCTCGGTTCTGATCATTTTCCCTCTTTTGGATACCATGCGACCACACTCCAGTCGGAATGGCATTCCAGTGTTATTGCTGTAGATCCTGGTAGTGTGGATCAGTGAGGCGATGTCTCGCTCATTTCTGGCATACAGCTTAATGTCATCCATGTAGAGGAGGTGATTGATGGTTGTTCCACTTTGGAACCGGTACCCGCAGAGCCAGAGTGCATGGAAGTAATGGTCAGTTGTGTTAAGAGTACTGCAATGGCTTAAAAACATGGTGATGCAGTTTTATACATACAAACAATAATTTTTTGGTTATGAAAATATTTGAAAGGTTCAGGAACTAAATTATTTTTTTGTCTTGAATGACAAAGCATCTCCACCTTACACATCTTCTACGTCCTATTCATACTTTCATAAAATGCTTCATGGAATCGATCAGTGCTAGGCTACACTCTTACACTTTTCCATGTCTATGCAGGTGTAGGGGGAAATCTGGTGGCCATCCAGGCCAGTAGGATGTCCACCTACCTCCACTCCTGGGGTGTTCCTGGAGCCCTTCCATTTAAAATGAGCGGGAGCTGTCCTGGACCCTGTGCTACCCTCTGCTCCTCAGGTCAGATACAGAAAAGCATACATGATTTAAAGGTGCAGTGCACAGCTGTGGCCCTTCCATAATTTAAACAGTTAAACATGTGACAGTGTTATTCAAGCCCCATTACTCACCATTTATTAATTCATGAATGAAATTACTATACGTGAAATAAAGTGACTTTTTGAAGAGGCTTGAAAATAGTTGGTAACATTGTTTGCAGCTCTACTGAGCTTTGGTGTCTGTTTTAGCAAGTTGTTAAATAGTGGTATATTTACCACTAATTAATTTAGAATAATGTACAGAGGCTGTCTTAGGTAATGGAATCCAGACGACTCCAAGGTATTCCTGAAGGCAAACAAGAAAACATAAAAGAGAAAAGTACAGACATTTGTTGCGCTGTTGTCAGAGAGACCCAAGCAAAGATCAAAGATGATATTGATATTGTCTAGGTTGCTATAACGACGTGCAGAAGTGACCGACGACGACCATCATCTGCACCTCAGATCATCTGCAACAGATCAACGTGGGACTTGGTTTGGAGAGAATGGCAAAGGGCTGTAGCTTCCTCAAAGAGCACAACCTAAGATTTGCAAAGGATGTAACTGCAGCTGACAGAAGGAAGGTGGAAGAAGCTTTGGCCAGTGCTGCCAAGAAACAAGAAAAGAAAGCTAATTTTGCTGGAATGGAAGGGAAGGACACATTTCCACTGCTGTCTCCACTAGAAGCGCAACTGACACCTGCTCAGATGGACACGTCAAGACTATAAACTATTTATTAGTTACTATTCACCATGTCCATGAACACTGTTTATAGGTAGGCCTACAGTCTCATTTAAAGCACTTAGCCCTGGGAGAATGTGGGAATGTTGTTCCTGGTTAGGTTAGACCAAAGTGATTAGACTTAGTTTTTGTTAAGGGATGAATTTTTTTTACTTTAAATTGCTTCTTCAGCAGTTGTTTCTCTCAATGTTAGGGGTTCGGGTGGGAAACAAAATCAAGAATCACATTTAGTGGTTAATGATGGTGCTTTTTGGTTGGCTTACTGGGCAAATGACATATGGCTGTCGCATGGTTCAGAAAGACCCGATGGGGTTCCTATCCTAAAGAATAACTTTCATGATATCTTGCACTCAGAAAGTGACCCTAATGGCTGTTACATGTTATTAATTCCAACGTAAACGGATATAACACTAGACCTGAAAATGGCATTTTGTTTGAAGTCATAGAAACCCGTTTTTTACATTGCTTATCTAAATACCCAAATTTAGTGCTTCTGGTGGGTGGTGACTTCAACATTGCCTTAAATGGTTCCTTAGATAGATGGCCTCCAAATGCAAAAAAAATATTCACCTTCCAATCTGTTGATTTTAATGCAAAAACTCAATTAGTTAGATATATGGAGAGAGGAAAAATCCTAATGTTAAACTCTATACATGTAGTAATAAAGCTTGCATTTCTTTGTTACGTATAGACTAGCCTATTGGTTAATTTCTGCTTAAATAGCATTAACATTATGGCTGATTTACTCTCCACAACAACTCCACTAACAGACCATAGCGCAGCGTCAGCCCAAATCTCTTTTAGGTCTAATGCTAGTCAGTCATTTAGAGGCTTATTTTGGAAACTTAATAACTCTGCTTTAAAACATGACCTAGTAACTAATATGATACAAACATCGATTAACTGTTTCTGGAACAAGGCTTTAAATGATAAATGCTTTTCCAGAAACTGGGAGCTTTTTTAATTTTGAGGTGTCAAATTTCTCAAGAGAGTATTGGCCCTTGTTTAAATCTAGAAAAGCTGAAGAAACAAAGGTAATAACTAGAACAACTGCTCTGAAAACCTTTTAGAAAATTTAATAGAATTCTAGAATGGCAAACAGGATGTAATTTTACATCAAAATCTTTAAAATGAAATATATAGAGCAAAAGCGGAGGGAGGAAGGAGAGCACTGCTTATTTGTTTCAATTAGAACGATGCCACAATAAAACCAATTCTATTCACAGACTCCGTGTCAATGGAGTCATTACTAATAATCCCCAAAAGATAACTAATTACTGCTCCACTTTTTATAGTAATGTGTGTGATTCTCATTAAAATGAGCAGCTAACACTTTTGGAATAACACTAGACTATCTCATTAAAACAGTAAATTTTGAGTTACCAAAAAGATTTTTGTGATAGCTCAACAATTTCAGATGAAGTGCTGCTTGCCATTCATCTAAAAGTTTTATATCGCTTTTGCTGAACAACTACCCTCCTTCCTCCACGGCTTGTGTGCACAGAAAACATTGAAAGTAAAACCCCCCTCACACTTTCTCTCAAGGACTTCAATCCTTAATTCCAAAACATCTGCTTTGCATTGGCTACTGGCAGCCAATTCTCCTTCTTTATAATTACACAACACAACACAACACAACCTTACAGGCCTTGGAGACATTTGGCTTTGGAACTTACTTTTGTGCAGCTATTAAAATAATTGACAACATACACTCTGTGTCAATCTTTCCAGTGAAAGATTCCGTCACCTTCCTTGGAATTGTTATTAAAAAACACAATGACACCAGATGCTCTGTAAATTTGGGCAATTCTGAGCAAGACACTTAACCCCTAATTGCTCCAGAGGCGTGCGACCTCTGACATGTATAGCAATTATAAGTTGCTTTGGATAAAAGCGTCAGCTAAATGAATAAATGTAAATTTCAACCTGGTCGTAGAAAGGATTAAGAATTCAGAGGCCCCTGAAATGTCTTGTAGTTCTACACTGTGAGTTGCACTTTATTGGAGGTGAAGTTAACATGTGTGGATTTGTAGTGAGATTTCAGCCTGATCACAAGTGTTTCACAAGTGCTTCAGTCCGAAGGGGATACTACCAGCAGAGCAATAACTAATGCACAGTAGAGTCCAGGGCAGGTAGACTTAAAAAATGTGCCGATGTGTGGAGATATTAAAGTCCAGGAGTTTACTAAATATAATAAATGAATTTATCATTGAGGTGAAAAGGTTCCACAATCACATTTAAAGAAGTTACTTCCCCGAACAAAGATATAAAGAGGAGGGCAGACTAAATCATGCCTGCAAGTGTGCTGACTCAGCAGGGATGATATTATATGAGAAAATAATCTATAGGAGAAGCAGATCTGAAAGCAGCACAGAATACCTGAGAGCTGCACTGCATTATATTTATAGTTTTAGATTTTGAATTGTCACCTGCCACTTGATTTGTGTGTTTCTCCTTTCCACCATAAATCGGTGCAGGAAAAATCACCAGAATGCAGGAAATTAACTGTTTGATGCTCAAAATTGACAACCACCAAATTGAGAGAATGTGCTGCTCAGGGAATACAATGGATTAGTGAGCCCACGCCCCAACATATTGCTTGCATTTACATATGCCAGGCAGTGTGCGATTGTCTCCCATAAGCTGAAAGTCCTCTTATATAGTGGATGAAAGATAGAATGTGCTGCTCCTCCCCTTCAGTCCATACTTATTAATGTGCTCAGCGAGGAAATGATCGAACTAAGAGATGACTTCCAGAATGTGTGATCCAAGTACTTCATCGTCGCCACGGAAGGACAGCCCTCTCTCTTAAAAACTTAATGACAGCCACAACCCGCTTCTCACCCTCCATATGTTGCACTAGTTTAGCATTCACAGTCCCGCTCTCAGTGACAGATGAACGCCGAAACAGTGTTAACATGCAATTACAACTAACAACTAACAAATAGATTTTTCTTAGTTGAAAAAAGCATTCAGACAAAGCAAAAGCTATTACCTGTGGATGGTGAATATGTGATCCAGTCTCAGGAAACTTTTTCCCCATTTGGGAGTTGACAACACAGCAGATCATTAGTGAGGAAGCGCACAATACTGCCCAAACTCCCATCACCGGGTGATGTTGGATATTTGCTCCTTCTGTTATGAAAGGCAGCAGGTCCGCAATCGTTAAGAACAGGTCGAGCGACTTCATTGATTGCACCCCGCAACGCTGCTCCCGCTGCTGCTGCTACTTCTAGCCTTGGCCTCAAGTTGTGCTGGACTGCTAACACTAGCCTCCTCCAGTCCCTGGTTGGCTTGCTCGTCATCTTCCACAGCTTGCTCACCCTGATTATCCTCCTGGCTCCATTTGAAGAATGTTTGAATAGATGGCCTAGCTCTCCTCTTTCCCTCTCGTTTGCGTTTACTACAACCACTTCTCTCACTCATTTTTAACTAATTTCAATAGTGGAGAAGACGTGTGGGCCCCAAGTGTGCAGTGAACAGAGCATTTACACCAGCTGGTGTAAGACTAAAGCTGCTTGCACACTGCTCAGATTGCGCCCAACTAACACCAACATTCTAAAGTTGGCAGTAGTTGGTTTCAGTCTTAAGAATCTAATTCTAGACATTAATTGAAGAATTGTAGGAGCTTGCAGACAAACATTTCATTATGATTGTATCCTGTATGATGTGCATCATATGTGACAAATAAACTTGAACTTTAACAGAAACAAGCATACAGCAGAGAAATTTAATGCTCCATAAACTGTCTAGACGTTAATTAAAACTAGACATCAGTACACACAGCTTGTTGCTACTCATTTCATTTCTCTCCAGATGTGAACTCCAAATCAGCAAGAGTCCTTGTCATCCTTGTAGTCCCGGGCCACCTGCTCTTCCTGTACACCATCCACCTCCTGCAGGGAGGCCATACTGCCATGACACCCACCTTCATCATCTGCTACCTCTGTGCAGCTCTGCTTCAGGTCAGATAAACCAAAAAAGCTTTGTTGTTCATATGGCAGGAAAAAAAAACTGTGTACTCGTACAAGACTAAATTAAAACTTGTTCAGAAACTTCTCCAAATATTGTCATTATCCAGGTGATGATTTTGCTTTACGTGGCCAGCCTGATGGTGCGATGGCTGTGGAAAAGAGGACTGGATCCAGACAACTTCTCCATCCCCTACCTCACAGCTTTTGGTGACCTGTTGGGTACTGGCTTCTTGGCACTGAGCTTCAGACTGATCCTGATTGTCAGTTCTTCTGGGACTGGAGTTTGATATGGACACACGGATGCATGTACTGTTGTCTATATGCAAGTGACCCACTACAGGGCTAATTGGATTTAAGAAGGAAGGTGACGAGAAAAGAACATAAGATTACCTGTTGTATTTGTGGCTCAATACTGTGCATGTGATGGGACAGAAACATGTTTTTTGCAAGCATGCACATTTTATTTTGTAAGAATATTCAATTTGAGCAAACAAAGATCTACACTATGCATGTTTGCTATTACCCATGTAAGTGCACAATAATAACCTCTCACTCAGTTTTACTCATTCGCTCACCAATTCCCTGGATTCTGGACACCTGCCCACTGTGTCTCCCATGCTGTCTCTATCTGTGCTCAAGCTTGCCTTGCTAAACCTCACACAGTAAAACAAATTCTAGAGGTGACACAGTGAGAGGGACATGGAGAGACTGGAGGGAAATCACAGAAAGAACTGTAGTTTCTGGTGAGTTGACGCTGTGCTGATCACAACTACAAAGACATGGTTGTTCCTTCTGTTTCAAGCTAGCTTACAGCCAACGTTCAGTTGGTACATCGGCTGGTTGTGGTGAATAAACACAAACCATCCCACAGTTAAATCTGCAAGAATGATGCTTCACTTTCTGTCTGAACACACCTTTACAGTGTGCTACAATTTCAGCTGGTCAAAAAATTGGAGTAGGCAGTTTCTGGTTTGCTATTTTGTCTCCAATTTGATTGCTAGTAGGATTATCGGTAACTAGGGAAGTAGGGAAGCACTGGGAAAATCGTCAGTAGGGACACCACAGCTATGCAAAAGTAGTTACTTAACTAGTTTGATAATAAACCGCTTGTATGTTAGTCTCTAGCTAGCTAGCATGAAAGGTAGCTAACTAGATTTCTATCCAACTATTGAGATAGTGGCCAGTAGCTAGCTAAGCTAGCAGGCTAACTTGATCATTGCCAGCTACTCGATAAGGATACGAATACGATAAGGTATTATAATCAGTTAAAAAACAGTGGCTTTAAATGTTTTAACTCAGCAGCAATGGCACTTGTCAAAAAGTTGAATTTAGTATTGTATAGCTGACTTAAGAATTACTACTAACCACCTAAAGCACACTGCCCCCCCCCAAAATCATATATTCAACTGTTTTCATTTAGCGGCATAGATAAACTTCTTCTTCTTTCTTTTTTTTTTTTAAGAGATTACATTAATGATTATAATGCCCTGGAGGGTAGGTAGACTATTCAAGTTAGTACCTAAGTTAGCTAGTTGGCTATTAGTCTTGCAGAGAATTACAGAGGAAATGGGTAAAATTGAGTGAGAGGTTATTATTGTGTGCTTTCATAGATACTAGAAAACATGTATATGATTCATTGAGCACATAGATTTTCTTTTTTTTTTTACAAATTAAATTGTACTTTGTAAGATACTTTCTCTATAAAACATGTACATGTGCTAAAAAAAGGTTTTCTGTGCACAAAATATCCCTTTGTGCCCAGGATTGAGGCACAATTATAAATAAGGGGCTGCATCAACAAAAGTGGAACAAACCTTGTTTAAAATAGAAAGAATAAGGAGAGAAAAACATAGAGTTTGATTTGTGACTTTGATCTCTGTGTTTTCCAGCTCACTGTGGTCAATAGTTGTACACTTTTCCTTGGTGTTGCACTGGTCTCAATACAAACACCACCCAGTTATCTGTAGTAACAACATCCATCTAAAATGGATACAAGTTGAAATATTGTAGAACCTTTGTATTTTTAACTGTTGGTACATCTGTACACCTATTATCTGCTCTTAAATGTTAGATGGCAAATGACTGTATTAAGGCAATAATCATATCTAAATGAGCGTAAATGTATTGTAACATAAATCCTACACTGTTCCATCTGGATGAATGTCAGATTTCAAAATGTTTATTTTATGTAGATATTTGCCTTTAACCCGTGATAAGCCTTCAGTTGTCTGATGAATTCCTATGAACTGTTGAGTTTGGTGTGCCAAATTTCTACTGGATATTTTATTTTTTGAGCAGCACAGTGTCACTGATCATAGTTATACACAGTTACACTTTACTGTATCTATGTTAGTTTGTGTCCCAGTGAATGATGATACAGATATATCTGTGTTATTTTTGCGAACAAATTACAGTATTTAGTATGAATCTCTTTGAATGTGGCCTTTTCAATTGTTTGATATGCACTTCTAGAAAAGTGCTTGTCCTCACTGATCTGAAAATAGCATCAAAACATGGTAATTTTTACAGTGGCATCAAGCTTGACTGGACTTTGCAGTGCTCTCACATTTGTCAAGAGGACATCTTTGCAACCATGCTTTGTCATTTAAAAAAAAAAGACTGACATATAAGTCATGACTGCTGTAAAAATATCTGTATAGCAGTGTTAAACATCAGGATTGTTGCCTTCAAAACTTAAAAATTATGAACTCCAGTATTCAAACCAATAAACAAATTCTCACTGAGATGCATTTATTTGAAAATTGTGAAAGAAACTATCTATTTTGGTTTGTCTGACTGTAAAGTCAGAAATAACACAATAAATAAAGACAATATCATAGTTACACAAAAATCTTTTCCTACAGTACAAAAAAATAAACTGTCACAGTTACAAAAGTTGTCATTGTCTGCTGGGGTGAAAATTAGACCCACGATCAAAGGCACATGCGTTTGGAGACATTCACTGTCTTAATAAGATTTTAATACTTTAATTATGCTACTCTAGATTACAATTGTTGTGCAAATTACACTTTTGAAACCAGCAGACAACAACTGTAATTAAACCAAAAGTTAAATGGCATTTCACACATTCAAAGGCAGTTACTGACTAATGGATCCCTGTTCACATATAATTGGCTTTCCTTAGGCAACAACTTTTATCTTGTGATGACATGTCTTCTCCTCCTTTTTTTGTGTGCACAGGCGTTCTTCAGCCTTATGTTCTCTCTGTAAAAATAATTAATTTGCTTTTGAGCTCTAATCAGGATACACTTTCGACAGTATTTGCAGTTGCAGTGCGTAATAAAAGGCCCACACAGAGAGAGATATCTTAAAAACAAACTACACTTTTAAAAAAGAGTCAGTGCTCTACAAGTTCAAGTCGAGTCCGTGGATGAGTTACCTTTCTGCCTCATCTAAACTTGAGGTAGGCTGGTATGGTGTAGTTGAAGAGCAGGAAGTCCATGCGATAGAGGTTGTACAGCTTCTTCTGGTAGAAGGGGCTGATGTTGTGGAAGAACTGGGCAGCCATGTCTCCTGTAGTCCTGGTGCTCTTGGATGAGGCAGGGAAGCTGACCTGGTCCTTTACCCCAGCAAGCTGTAGCACGTAGCGGGAGTCCTGCTCCAGCGTCTCATATTTACCCACCACATCGTAGTGGATGAGGCAGGGGTGGCACAGCGAGTGCACCCGCTCCCAGTGCTCATTGAAGGGTTCTTCTCGCTGGGTAGCCGGGTCCACAAGGTAATACACAAACTCCTCAAAGGAGACATCGTTTCCCCTCTCCAGAGCTTCTGGCTGTGGGTCCAGCCTGTGCCGGCGCACTATCTTTGTACCATATCGTTTATGAAAAGCTGTGTTGTAGCTCCGTGTGAACTTGTTGCGGTACGCAGACACCAGCCGTTCGAAAGGTTCGCGTACAAAGACAAACTTCAGATAGGAGCGCAGGCGCTGGTTAATCTGGGAGGTGGAGTACTCTGACAGGGTGCGGAGGTTTCCTGAGACGTGGGCCTCGTTGGCAGGGATCGCCAGTGGGTCTCGGAGGGAACCGGAAACGCCTGTTAGAACCATGAGCACCCGCTTCCAGTTGGTGCAGGCCACTTTGGGCACGTAGCAGTACAGCAAGCTGTGCTGGTCGTCCACGATGACGTGCTTCAGGTCCTCAGGAATGAGAACTCTGCGTTTGCGGGTGTAGGAGCGGCAGGCTTCTTCTAACACCTCCCGTCGGCCCTGATGGATCGCCTGTACTGCCGACTCAACCTACAGAAAAAAGGGGAAGGAGATTTTTACACAAAGTAATAAAACTTGAAGTTATTGCATATATATATACACACACACACACACACACACACACACACACACACACACACACACACACAGTGGGTACGGAAAGTATTCAGACCCCTTTAAATTTTTCACTCTTTGTTTCATTGCAGCCATTTTCCAAAAATCAAAAAAGTTCATTTTATTTCTCAGTAATGTACACTCAGCACCCCATCTTGACAGAAAAAAACAGAAATGTAGAAATTTTTGCAAATTTATTAAAAAAGAAAAACTGAAATATCACATGGTCATAAGTATTCAGACCCTTTGCCGTGACACTGATATTTAACTCAGGTGCTGTCTATTTCTTCTGATCATCCTTGAGATGGTTCTACACCTTCATTTGAGTCCAGCTGTGTTTGATTATACTGATTGGACTTGATTAGGAAAGCCACACACCTGTCTATATAAGACCTTCCAGCTCACAGTGCATGTCAGAGCAAATGAGAATCATGAGGTCAAAGGAACTGCCTGAAGAGCTCAGAGACAGAATTGTGGCAAGGCACAGATCTGGCCAAGGTTACAAAAAAATTTCTGCTGCACTTAAGGTTCCTAAGAGCACAGTGGCCTCCATAATCCTCAAATGGAAGACGTTTGGGACGACCAGAACCCTTCCTAGAGCTGGCCGTCCGGCCAAACTGAGCTATCGGGGGAGAAGAGCCAAGAACCCAAAGGTCACTGTGGCTGAGCTCCAGAGATGCAGTCGGGAGATGGGAGAAAGTTGTAGTAAGTCAACCATCACTGCAGCAATCCACCAGTCGGGGCTTTATGGCAGAGTGGCCCGACGGAAGCCTCTCCTCAGTTCAAGACACATGAAAGCCCGCATGGAGTTTGCTAAAAAACACCTGAAGGACTCCAAGATGGTGATAAATAAGATCCTCTGGTCTGATGAGACCAAGATAGAACTTTTTGGCCTTAATTCTAAGCGGTATGTGTGGAGAAAACCAGGCACTGCTCATCACCTGTCCAATACAGTCTCAACAGTGAAGCATGGTGGTGGCAGCATCATGCTGTGGGGGTGTTTTTCAGCTGCAGGGACAGGACGACTGGTTGCAATCGAGGGAAAGATGAATGCGGCCAAGTACAGGGATATCCTGGACGAAAACCTTTTCCAGAGTGCTCTGGACCTCAGACTGGGCCGAAGGTTTACCTTCCAACAAGACAATGACCCTAAGCACACCGCTAAAATAACGAAGGAGTGGCTTCACAACAACTCCGTGGCTGTTCTTGAATGGCCCAGCCAGAGCCCTGACTTAAACCCAATTGAGCATCTCTGGAGAGACCTGAAAATGGCTGTCCACCAACGTTTACCATCCAACCTGACAGAACTGGAGAGGATCTGCAAGGAGGAATGGCAGAGGATACCCAAATCCAGATGTGAAAAACTTGTTGCATCTTTCCCAAACGACTCATGGCTGTATTAGATCAAAAGGGTGCTTCTACTAAATACTGAGCAAAGGGTCTGAATACTTATGACCATGTGATATTTCAGTTTTTCTTTTTTAATAAATTTGCAAAAATTTCTACATTTCTGTTTTTTTCTGTCAAGATGGGGTGCTGAGTTACATTACTGAGAAATAAAATGAACTTTTTTGATTTTTGGAAAATGGCTGCAATGAAACAAAGAATGAAAAATTTAAAGGGGTCTGAATACTTTCCGTACCCACTGTATATATATAAATATAAAATAACTCTACTTTTAAGCATAATTCCGGTAACTGTGTTACAGTGTTTTCTCATATATACTCTACTCGGCCCACTCGCCCAGGTTAGACAAAGTTAAAAGACAAAACAATGATGAATGGTAAAATTATACTCATAGTGCAATGAAGGTCTGCTAATAGGGTTGGGTGATGTCTACAAAAATTTCCATCGGACGATGTCAGACAGGGGGGAAAGACAGCAAGAGGCGAGGAAAGCCGGTGTGTTGCAATGAGAGACCAGAGGTTTAGATTTGTCTGAGTGTGGGGAGGAGAGAAGTCCGAGGCAGATGCAACGCAGGTTTATTTAAAAATAATAATAATATCATTTTGTGGGTTGGGCATTACAATAACATAATATTTTGGGTGGTTGCACTATACTTTTTACCTTCAAAAGAGAAGTATTGAAAATTTATTAGGGCCTGAGCATGAAAATGTGCAAGGACCCCATATTGAAACATGTTCAAAAACTCACAAAACTTTGCACACACATCAGGTGGGGTGAAATTTTTTATTGGTCTCCCACGTGGGAGCAGCAAAATAGCTCGCTAGTGCCATCTAAAGAGCAGCCCCTGGCCAAAGTTTCACCTACAAGTACAATTTGGATTTAATGGTCATTTTTGCACAGTACTTACTTTAACAAACTCCACCTACAGAATTTGTCCAATCAACTTCAAGTTTTCGGTGTGCAGTCTTAACCAATTGTTGTTTATTCAAATAATAAACAACAATTGGGCGGGCCCTCGCATCTGAAGCGTGTCGGGGTGACGCCGCTGCTCTGCCAACGCAGTTCTGAATTGTCACGTGCATTCGGATGCTGCAGGGACGACTGTGTGGAACTACAGAATACCCGGTTACTTCCTGTTGCCAGTAGGTGGCGCTATGACTATAACTGACTTTTGGCATACTGTGCTCACGGCAGAACTCTTACCAAACGTGTAAAATTTGGTACAGATTTGATCATGTACAGTCAAGTTACAACAACTTCCTGCGTCATGGCGATGCATGGAACTTTGCCGCCACGCCATTAGTCAAAACCTCACATGGCATCGTCAGTGTGTTGGGTTTTGAAGTTGATATGTCCAACCTGCTAGGAGTAGTACATTACAGCGTAAAAGGTGTAATTTCCTGTTGCCAGCAGGTGGCGCTATGACTGAGTGAATATTGGCATATTGATGTGTTCAGGGTGCGACTGGTGCAGATGTGAGAATGTACATTGAAGTTATAACAATATTCCTGTTCCATGGCAAATCATCAGTTTTCAACACCACGCCACGGGCAAACTGGTCGACTGGTAATAAAAGTTTGTACAAGTTTTAATCGTCAGTGGGTTTAGACTGCACAGTGAAAATTTACAATTTTTCATTAAAGTACAAAGTGTGTAAAACACCAAAAATTACCATTATACC